ACCCGCTTTCCTGAAATCCTGGCCCTTTGCTCTGAAGGGTTCACAGAGAGAGTAGACAGTGTAGCTACAATGATGTGTAATAATTTTTATTTTGCATTTGTGTAGTCCAGTCACTATGTCATCCAGATGTGTGCTGATCATTATAGAGAACATATTGATTACATTTTTTCACCACTGTTACAAAATACATCTCACACCGAAGAGTTACAGCTACGGTAATAGCTTTTTGTTGTTTTTTTCTCCCCTTTCTCTAAGCACGCATATCTTTGATGACCATACAAATGGATTTATAGATCTGTAGGAAACTTTTTTTTTTTGTGAAATGTTTTCTCAAAGCTATTTTAATTCCATAGGTCAATTTTTGATGCCACATATATTGTAATTTGAGGACATGTCTGACAGAGCAAACCAAGCAATCATATGCTTTAGGTATGGCATTGCCATTATATAAACTTTTCAATGGGACACTATATTAGACTTTGTTTACAAAATTCTCAACTAGCATGGCCTTTGAATAATAATTTTGAATAAGTTTTACGTAATAACAAAAGTTATTTATTCCATACAGTGGAACTGATTCCGATAAATATTTTCCACTTCACCTGTTTTATATATTTTAACTTACAGAGAATGCCAAATTCATCCTCAATTTGTTTTGCCATTTTAAAACAGATTAAAACCCAAATGATACACACTTTTTTCTTGTATTATTCCTAAAATTTATTTAAATGATTGTCTTCCACTTATTGAACTTTAAAGTTAAAATATATGTACTGAATTAATTCTAGAAACCTAAAGACTTAAAGTCTCTTAAAAGTCTAAACTGTTTGTTATTGTTTGTTTATCACTTGTATTCTAATGTGTGAAGTGCTTTATCTTTATTTCATTTCAATGATTTGCAGTATTATCTTCATCAGTATCTCTTTGCTGAGGGCAAGCCATGTTCCAAACACAAGATTCTGTAGTTGAATTTCTCAGACCAGATATATCAGTAGCTCAATACAGAAAATAATCCTTTGCTTCCAGCAGTTGAATGCCTTGAACGCAAAATAAATGTTGCCTGATCCTCTTTTCTGGGTGGTGAAGGAAAGCTTTCCACAGTGATTATAATAATTTAGTACAGATTTATCCTGCTCTTCCTCCAAAGAGCTCTGATTATAAATCTGAGTTCTCTACACCCTGCTTCCAATTAATCCTACTGTCAAGTAGAACTGGATCGAGATGAACTAAAAGTGTTATATGTAGATGAGGATGCTGGTCCTAGTTCAAAACTATTCAGTATCATGATTCCGCAACTGGATGTTTGAACCATCATTTGTAAAATTCCCAGTCTAGTTATTTAAGAATTGGAAGAATGATAATCCCAATAAACATGAAGGGATCAAGATGAGGAAGATTGCTCTGGAGACTGTCCCAAAGGTGTTTTTCCAAAAGGCAACAGAGCTTTCTTGTTCTTTTTTCTCTGAAAATTTTTCACTTGTCATCCAAGAAGCTTCTTCAGCTTAGTTCAGAACTGAAGAAGCTTCTTGAATGAGAAACAAAATATTTTCAAAGGAGAAAAGCCAAAAAAGTCCAGTTGCCTTTTGGAAAAAGCACCTTTGGGATAACCATGACAGAATGATTGAGACTCTCCACAGACATTTCGCTTTGGAGACTGCGAAATAATATATATAATAATTTTTATAACAGCATTCCATGATTTTAATATCCTGTGGAGTTTGTCATTCTCTGACGAGGAATCAAAAAATATGTACACACTTTTAAAATACAACAGCAAAGTATTCTTATAATTTATTATCAAGCCTGTAAATATCTGCTCTTTGATAGTCAGTTTTCCTGATCCTTTTTTTGTGATTCAGTTCAGTTCTTAATGTTTATAATATCTTAGAACCACAAGAAAAGAAATTAAAAGAGATGGTATACTTTCCAGTTAGATTTAGTTGTATCCACTGAAAAAAAGTCAAAATGTCTTAAGTCCCAAGTTTCGTCCTTCCCATGTTTTATTCCACCTTAAGCATTACCCAGGATCAAAAGATTGCCATCTGTGATTGCTGGTATGTTGCTGGAAGCATGTGTAATTGATAACTGTAATCAAGAATAGTTAACCCTCCTTCTCTCTCCCACCCCCATCCCTGCCTCAGTTCACATGGGCAGGTTTACCTATGCGGTTTGGAAATAAATCATGGTAAGCCTGTAAAATCTTGGCTTAAGAGGGGATGAAATTAATACATATTTTTATAAATGTGCCCTTCTATTCACAATATCATCCAGTTTCATGGGAGAGTTTTCAAATTTGTGCGGCAATAAATGTAATTACTTTGGAGCACGGTATACTTTTCATCAAAAGTTATGAAAGTTCCTGCTCAGTATTATATTTTTCCTGCTAGTAATTGGGTGAAATAATTAACATTTCTATATTGTATTTGCTACTGTGCATTTTGATATACCAGTTGCATGTTATGCATGTTTTGCTGAATAGAGTAAAAAATTGCATTTCTAGATGAGTATTTTAAAATAATCTACATTCTTTGCTTGAAAGTATGGTCCATTTGTTCTAATGTTTCACATTTGAAAAATTGGAAGAGTCAGTATGATGCAATTAGGAAATTTAATATAAGTTTTATAAAGATATATAATGGAAATATAAACAATGTGTATTTCCATTGAAACAGTCCCCTGTTCTTCTATTTTATCATTCTATTAATGTTTATTATGAACTTTATTTAATTTGTCATGAATAATAAAATAACATGTTTAGATTGAATAACTTCATTATTTAGATTTAGAATAACATGTCATTTTTATAAAATCAAGTGGCTTGGATTTTTGTTTACTGGTTTTGTTTTGTTTTTAAAGCATTCACAACTATGGCAATAGTGATGTGAGGATAAAAGGACCTTATTGTGAGGAATAGTGATTTGATTATTATTATTTTTTGCTACTGCTACTGTGTTAATCTGTGTTATTTAAAAGACAGAATGTATTTTTGAAAGCATTATCAGCTGTGTTCAGAAATAATTGACAATATGCTGAGAGAAATTACTTGAAAGGTGATTCCTTTTAGACTTCCTAAAGAAAATCTTAGGACAAATTTTCTGTGCAATGGTTTTAATGCTGCCGTGTGGGCTCTTTTTATTCATCATAATTCAACAAAAGTAATCTGGGTTTTAGCAGTCTAGAGCAATTTTAAATGTGATACTAGAAACTGCTTTTTGTAAATTGTAGCACAAGGTAGCTTGTAGAAAAAGGATTTTCTGAAACATAGTAAATGCTTTGATTAATGCTGAGTTCACTTTTTAATTAGCAATTTGGAAGGGCAAAAGCTAAACAAAGCAAAACAGGCAATATAAATTAATTAAATTAATGACAAATGGCTAATTATTTCAATAACTTGTAAAAGTTAATTTTTCATGTCCTTTTTTTTTTACAAGGATAAAATGCAAGGTACATGGATCATGTTCCTTGGGTATCTTCTTAAGTAATCTTAGCTATTGAGAAGAATTTCGTACACACACAAACACACACAAATTATTTTTTAAAAAACAAGATTTTAGTTTTTTCATGCATCTCTGTGATTTTATATACATTTGTTCAGAGGCAGTTTATATTATTTTATATTGTATTAGTGTATTGTAATATTTTGTACTACAGCATTTATACTGTAAAATATTTAACAATAAATACTTCTTTGTCAATAGAAGCAATTGTACGCAAGTTGTATTTTCAGTAAATGGATAAAATTGAGTCCAGTTGCCTCTGACCCATAAAACTTGAAGGGCTGGTTCTTTTCTATGAACAGAAATGCCATTGTTTTCTTTCTTGTGCATTCAGCCTGAAAGTTTGCACTAGTAGGTGAAAAGGAATTCATCTTCTCTTAGCCAATCCCCTCTTCTGGATTTCTGTGTTAATCTTTTTAAATAAGATTCAGCTCTGATCCTTATTTCAGTTCCCTTTTGCATCTGCCTCTGTCTAAAGCTGTAGAGGCATTTGAAGGCATCTCAGCAGCGGATAACTGATAGTCCTGCCATGTAAGTTTGCATTTTGTGTTTGTAACTTCAGCTATTAAGGCTGGCCTTCAGTGATGCTGTGATTCGGATAGCTTTCAGAGGAGACTTGGTTAGCTTTTGAAGGAGATAGTGATGGGAGTTATTGCAGAGACTACGAAGAAGTAGTTGATTCTATCCTAACTTAGGAAAGCCATGTTTAATTTTATATTGGGGGAATGCTGTAATATAAATATAAGTTACATTTGTATAACCTTGTTATGTGGATGCGTACTGCCTTTTTGGAGTGACAGGCATGTTATTGCTGCAGATGAAGAGCTGCTATTAACATTAGAGTTACCTACAATTACAGAACTATAGTTCAAAATTCTAAATGCATCAATGAGAAACTCAGTTATTAAATGTTCTGATGAAAAGGGACCTGTGCTTGTCACAATCATGTCATCCTGGCTTTTAGATAGTGGCCTAAATCTATAAAATAATACAACTTGAATTTAGTTAATGATTGCCTGCTGTTGTTTTGTTCTTTTCAAAGATTGTATTTATTTCATCTAGAGATCTATATTTCTTCGATCTGTTTTATTTTAACTACAACTACATACTTGATGTGTTCCAAATACAATGTTCATTTAGAAATAGTATGAAAGTTATGTAGCCCAAGATATTCCAAAGCAGGATGTAGTGTTGTCAGATTTGTTCACAAATCTTACTGAAATAAGGCCATCTACACAAGTGAAAGTATTCTAAACAGGTGACATTCACATGAGTTTGGTGTTTCGTATTCAGGTTGTGAAGAATAGAAATATATCACATATATTTAAATTTGGGAATACACACAAACAAACACACAATCTTGCCAAGTTTCTCTTTTAGATAATGGTTGGTGCATTTTTGTCTCTAAGAGAACTCTGTTTTTATCAACCTTTGGTTTTTGTTGCTCATTTTTTTCATCAGTTATTAAAATAAAAGATATGTTCTATGCTTTTTATTTTACAGCATTACCAGTGAAGCAGGAGCCTCCATATATAGTGTTAGTCCAGAAGCTTGTAAAGAGATGCCTGATTTAGATCCTAACCTACGAAGTGCAGGTAACTATTGCTTATATTTTTACTCCTTTCAGAAACAGAATATATGTGTGTTGTAACCATTAAAAGAGTGACTTGAGCTTTAGACATAGAGATATTCTCCTTTTGTGAGTATTTACTGAATATGAAATTCTGAACTAACACTTTTATAAAGCCATACAAATAAATTATAGGTGGAATAATTTCTTTTGTTTACAGATCTTGACTACATTTGTTGGCTAATCCAACATATGCTTGGGAGAAAAATCTCATTGTTTACATGCTGTTACATGCCATTTACATATAGCAAAATGTATCTAATCCTATTATACATAGCATAGCATATCTTCTCTCTCCCGTTGTAAAGGACTTAAGTACACAATATTTTTATTAGACTTTATTTTATTATATCTGCTTCTTAAATGGGAATAACTAGAATAGGGAAATTAATAGAGGAAGGATGAATGATGAGTGATACATTTTTCTTTCTGTTTTAATAAGGACACTTGAGACCCACATACTTTTATAATAATAGAAATTTTCAGTCTTCCATTCTTTTTTTTATTTGCTTCCTTTGAAATTTTGGCAGATTTAAATCAGAAAAAATAGACAGTACAGAATGAGCTGAGGCATAAATGAGCTGTAGGTTTTATAAACCAATTTCAACTTGAGTAAAGAAAGTTTTGTAGGACTCTCTCCTTTACATAAGCACTGTAATTTTTTCTTAGTATTTCCACTGGCAGTCAGAAACATACGTGAGCTTACATAATGTTATTGAAAATGTGGTTGGAACTCTGTATCTTTGAAGTTTTGCAATTTGTTTCTACATTTTTCATGATATGTTTCTAGATCTATCTTTTTCAGCAGTTTCTAAACTGGAAATTTATATATAAACATTATTTTAAGCCATAAAATATTTCTCATCCAGTATGTAAGTAAGAAGCTATTTAATTCCCTTCTAAATCAAGATGCTATTAACCTTTTGGTTTTGATTCTCTATTCTAACCCTAAGTTCTCTTCTGGTCAACTATATTATTTTTCTTTTATATATGTTTTTATTAAATATTTTAATTTTAAACAATCCATGAATGAATGAGGCATTACTTCATAACAGAGGCAAAAATGGAAGATGCCTGCTATGACCTCTGTTGTCAGAGAGATTGGAAAGAAGTCCAGAAGTTACGTTTAGCATGCTTTTCCTGCCTTCTTATGTATTGAGCTGTAATGAACATGCATACCTGGCTGAATTGGCTTGCAGATATGTGAATATTTTAATCACAGATACAGACTTCATCGTGTTTTTTAATTAAAACTGAATAAATATAGAATATATTAGAATGTATGAGTTATTTAGTTCTATTGATTTATCTCTCTTCAGGAAGATTTCATAAATGGAACTTAGGGAGTTTAAGGTCAAAATACCCGTTTACTTCTGCTGCCAGATAAACTGATGCACTCAAACTATTTGAGTGCTTCGTATTATTAGTGATCTAGAAGGTCCTGCTTTGGTCCCCGTTTCCTCTGTTTCTGTAGTTCAAACCTAATAGCTGGCTAGGAATCCAGATAACAGGTGTAATGTGCTGTGCCTCTATACCATGAACATTAAAGTTCGAATGCTTCTTGTAACGATTAGGGATATGCAAGTATGGTGGAAGAAGGGTCTTGCCTTTGCTCCTTCACCAAGGAAATAGCACATGCCTTATCTAGGCAGAGCTGAATGCCGACCGAAGATAAACAGACAAATTCTATGACCCAAGAAGCCTGGAGACACCATTTTAATGATGGGAGACTTGTGAGAAGAGGTAGATGAAAGAAAGGATGAATAATTAATAGTTGTAGAAAACTGGCTTGAAAATTATTATTTAGTAAAAGGTACAGTACGTCCCATATTTTTTTGTTCACAGATTTGTAAATTTCTGAAAGAGAATGAAATGTCCACTAATTTGCAATCATATAGATGAGTGTGCTGTAATCCCAAGCAACTGTTATATGAGAGTAGCAAATATGGGAATTTCTTCCTACATCATTTCTGAAATCTTAATTAGCATCTTTCTTCCAGATGCTGGTGATGTGTTAGTGATTCCAAACTGCTCTTACTTGAAAATAAAATAGTCATTTTTTTAATCTGGAAGTAGTTAATAAGTAGGTATAAACAAAGGCATCCCTAATGGACTGTTTTAATTTAGTTGGATTAATTACCCTGAAGCACCATTTTCTTTCTTTCTTTCTTTCTTTCTTTCTTTCTTTCTTTCTTTCTTTCTTTCTTTCTTTCTTTCTTTCTTTCTTTCTTTCTTTCTTCCCTCCCTCCTTCCCCTCCCTCCCTCCCTCCTTTTTTCTTTTTCCTTTTTTCGGGGGGAGAAAGGAACAGAACCAGTGGAAAGATTAGATGTAAACCACATTCTTAAAATCCCGGCCTAATTCAGAAAGGTAAAAAACCCACAGTACTCAGAAAAATCATAGACTTGGGGAAAGTCTTGAGCATTTTTTTGTCCAGTCTCCTGCATTCCCTGAATTATTCTTTAAAGACAAGGAGAAGTTCACTTTCTTGATAGGAATTTGGGTCTCTTTTCAAATTGCTATTACCAAGATCCTAACATTTCAACCAAGATCTTTCCTCCTTTGATTAATATCATTAGTTGTAGTTCTGCTTTTTTAAAGAGTGAGATATATCTACTCAGATCCTGGAGGTAAAGATACAAATAATGGGTAACTCTTCAGCTATTTGATGAATGCTGTTTTGTCTGTCTTCAGGGTTCCCCTTTTCATGCAAAACATAGTTGGTGCCTTCAACCGGTTCCTATAGGATTTGTTTTCCATATCTCAGACAATATTAAATTATATATTCTACCTATATTCCATGTCACCTATGCTGCAGTTTTCAGCATAAGAAAATGAAAACATTATTTCCATCTTTTAAAAAATCGTGTTTTCATTTAACACAGTCTAAAATTTTACATTAGCCTTTTTTGTGGCCATATGCACTGGTTCGTGTACAGTTTATGATTAATTGTAATATCACAGTAATAAGGCAGGATCATAAATACATGCACACTACCATCATCCTTTGTAATCCATTCTCCATATTTACAGGACAAATGAGAAAACTAATGCCAAAAAGTCAGCTGTATGCACTGCAAAAAAATAATAATTTGGGGTCATTTCTTGTCCTGATCCACATTTGTGCTAGTACAACATACAACTTAAAAATACATTTTCAGTATTAGTACATTTATATGGCTGTGCTTGAAAAATATTGGAATAATTCCCAAGTTTTATTTTAAAAGCTCCATGATTGCTTCTCTTGAAAAGAATATAATATACTTGCAAGCACTGCATAGTATGTGTTTGGTTTTATAGGATAGAGAACAGATATATAGTGAACTAACTTCTCTGCTTATGTAATTTCAGCAGCAACTGTTTAAGTGGTGCATTTGTTTTAGCTACTGAATACAGGACAGAACTTTTTTAAAAATTATTCTTTTATTTTTTCACCATAATAACCTGAAGCAGTTGTACTGCTGCCAAATCATGGAGATGAGCTGCCTTAAAACTGAATGTGGTAATGGCTGTTATGAATTAGTAAAATTATTGAAAAATTGCCCTGTGTATTTTGATTGGCAGTTTCTGCATTGGTTTAAGAATTCTTGCTATCTGAAGAGTTTTTCAGCACAGTTTTCAATTTTGTTTTACAGAATAACAAATGCCTCCCTTTCCACAAATTTCTGCATGTGCTTTTTTAATATAAAAAAACCAAGCTAGCAACTCTGTGCTTCATTGCACTAAATCAGAGAAAATAATATGGACAAGCCACAGTACAAAATTTTCTTCAGACTTGGATAGGAAAGGACATTTCTTCTTAGTGACAGTGACATTTATGCTAGCCTGTCTCAAAAATAACTCCTTGGTAAAGCTTGTCTATGTTACTTGTATAAGTCAGTGCAATGAAGCATGGGGAATACTTTCATTTTAATTTCCATTTCACTAGTTACATCAGAGATTGTACTATACACTTTTCCCCCTTTGTTTCTCCCAACTGTGATGCCTGCAAGATGAACTATTTTTAAAAGTTAATAATGGAAACTGAGGTTTAGGTCAGGTATTAAAACAATGTATTCTCTTACCAGGTCTCTTTGGTGATATGCCTTCTTTTCTGACAAGTAATACTCTTTGCAATTGTCTTGGAACTGTGTTCAAAATTTACCCAGCATGCTTTTTATTAAGAAAACATGTGTTTTCTTTAAAAGAATTATGCACAGATGCAGTATCTAAGATGTGGTAATTACAACAGCAACAATAACAATATATTACTACTAAATGCAAATTTGATACCTGCTCTCCCTGATCCTTGTTTGGTATGTTTTTAAACTGATTTGCATTTGGAAGCAACATGTGAACATATGACAAAAACATACAGTTTGATTAAAAACATCTTCTAGTCAAACCTCTTGCTCAACCGAGTTTTGCAACGCAATTTGTTTTGTCCAGGGCACTTTCAGATATGTGGGCTCCCAGAATTTCCCATACTAGATTTTGGGCAGTTAAAGGCTACACAGATGGAGGGCACCCACGGTGGATAAGGGTGAGCTTCTTCGTTCAGATGTTGCCCTTTGAGATTCCCCTTGTAAATTCTCCAGTACAGAAGACCTTTCTGCCTCCCAATCTGTGCTGCATACTGATAGGGAGTGACTCCTAAAGAATCTGCAAAATCTTTTTTCTTCCAGTTTTTTAAATTAATCCTATGAATTAGCACAGAACAAAACTGGTCATCTTCTTCATACTAACCCTCAGCTATGTGACAGTGTTTGTCTTGTCCCTACTTAATCTTCCCTTGCTTGTGCCCAAAGTCAGTGTAGGTAGCAGTATCTGAAAGCATCACTGCAAATGATGAGAGCCAGTTTGGTCTAGTGGTTAGAGGACCAGGCTAGAAAGTAGGAGACCGTGAGTTCAAGTCCTGCCTTAGGCATGAAAGCCACCTGGGTAACTTTGGGCCAGCCATTCTCTCTCAGCCAAATCCACCTCACAGG